CGCTTTCATTCTTCTATTTAAACAAAAAAATCTTATAAATTCATGGCTTAATTAAGCCAATTTTTAAAAAAATTAATACAAGTTAATTATCATTTTGGGTATTGGTCACTGGTATCAGTTAAAATAAAAAGTATCGGACGATAGAAATCTCTGAAATCAAATATTCATTTCGTCGAGTCAGTTTATGTTCTTTTCATAGATTACTAATTTATATATCTTGTATTACGGATGCAATTTATTTTATATTTTATGTGTTAATTTTTTAAAAAATGTATATTTATTATTTTAGAATAAACAATAAAATATTTGAATGTATTATAGTGCTTTAAATTGACCAGAAGCATTTATAGTTTTGTTTCTCCTAAAAAAACCTTTGCTTAAATTAGTGATATTTTCTATAAAAAAAATGTTAAAAACAAAGTATTTTACGTGTTTTTACCATTTAAAGTACATTATTTGAAGTAAAAAGCAAAAAGAAAAAGCTTTAACTTGTAAGCCCTATTTTGTCCATTTCAGTAATAATTCAAAATTCTTAACTTTAAACCAAAGCAACCATATTTTTTATAATGGTTATTGAATTGAATTAAGTTTTTAATATTATTATAATATTCGAATAATATAGTTCAAATTATTATTCGTATGAACGAGTCAAATTATATTCGAATACGAATATATTCGATCGATTCAATATTAGTATTGTCATTTGAGGTGCATCGTAATATATAGTATAGTTTTGGGAAGGAATAAAGTAAGAAAGAAGGTAACGAAATCAAATAAAAAAGAAAAGAAAGACAACAAATTAATATAATACTTTTCTAAACTTTGGCAATGTATCAAAGCACGTTCTTATTAATTATTTTCTCAATAAAAGTACGAATTATTTATAATGTGAATAAAAGGTCTTCCGAGCTATAATTGTGCATAGCTTTTAAAGATACTTGTCTGGGCCTTCTAAATAATGCTCTTTCTTTTAAATAATATTTTTTATTTTTTTTAATTAAATGCATAAATTAACATTACTGTCACCTAAAAAAAATAGTAATATATTTTGAAAAAAGTGGGAGGGATCAATCTTATTTATTGTAGTAATTTACAGACTTTCTTTCTTTCATTCTCATTCAGTCAGTCAATCGACAACTTTGTTAAAGCTATTTTTTAAAGGGGAAAATCGCCATAAGTAAAATCATATTAATTTATAGAAATTTTAATTAACTTTCTTCTACATAGATGGCAAGTTTTGCAGAAAAAATAAATCGTAGAAAAGCAATAAGGTATTCTATTTTTAAATCAAGAAATGAAAATAAATATTGTAAATACGAAGATAACATAAAATGTTTGTTTTAGTTTTTCCCCAATTCCTTTATATTTGCATTAAAATAGAGATAAAAAGCCTAATCAGCAAATAAATTTTCAAAGAGGAAAATAATATCTAAATCAACTAAAAGATCAATAATATTGGGATAGGAAGGCATTTTATCTATCGATATGGGTAATTTAGGCGTGTGTATATCACAACTTCAAGCCCTAAAATGGTGAAAATTTCCTTTCTAAATTTTTAAAAAATTACTACAAATGTTTTTTAAAGGAATAAACAAAGTCATATAAGATTGGCAATTAGTCAAATATTATTTATAATACCTAAAAAATTAATATTAAATTAAATAAATTATGAATTTTTTTAATATGTTCTCATCTGAAAATGTGGAAAAGAGGTATCATCGGCCCAATCATTCTTTATTTTTTTATAGATATCAGCCGCTAAAAGGATCTCAAGGAGAATTATGGAGAGGATGATGGAATGATAAAGGTGATTCCAAGATTATATCAAAGATTAATATATAAATTTTTAATTTATTAATGTAAAAAAAATATTATATTTTTAATGGTTTTTTCATAAACAGAGTTTTTCTATTTAATTCTAGTTTGTCTAAGAATATTATTAGCAATTACTAATTAGTAGTAAGTATATTTTTTTTATATCAAATTTTAAATAATTTTAATTATTTTGTGAAGCTATATAAAAAATAGAATAAAAAAATTTTCGAAATTTTTAAGAAAAATATAATTGGGTTTTTAAGAAGGAACAATCAAAAGCCTCAACAATTTTATATTCTCGTCAATTGCAACTTCCACTAATACACAGTTTGCTAATCACGTTTTTTAAAAAATTTATATTAACACCAACGCATAGATATAAATGATAATCTTTAGAAAATATCCTTAATCATAAAAATAAATTAATAAAATTTGTATATTAATAAATAAAAATAGATATAAAATTAGACATTTTTTCAGGAACGCGTTCAGGAACAATCTGAAATGTAGAACAGAACCTATTTTTGGGCGGAACGGGAACGAAATAGGAACACTAAAACATCTCTATTATAGGTCCATGAATTTTAATGATTCAAGAAATTTTTTTTAAAAAATTGATAATTAAAAAGGAACCAAAATATTTGTAATCGTAATATTTAAAAAAATCGAATTATTTTGAAAGAAAGAATAGCTAAAAATGTGACATTAGTTTATTCAAGAAAAGAATTTAAAATATTTAACGAGTCATAATCAGCAATAAACCATTGCCTATATTTTAAATAAAATTATTAACTTTTTGAGAATAAAAAAATAAAATAAGCTTATCATTCGTGACGTGAAAATGACCAAATATTGCCTTAGCCATGAGAAGCGAAAAATTTTTAGGTGTTTTTTTGTTTTTCACATTGTTTTCAAATAAAAGTAAATATTTTTTGCATAGAAAATATTGATTTTATCAATCTAAATAGTATCAATATCGGATCGGGTTGGTGAAAAATTCATAGATAGACACAGTCCTCAAAATAGCCCATTTGTTTAATATGTATATTTATTAATTGATATAGAGTTTATTATTATTCCTATAGACATTTCCCATAATGCTTATTATTAAAAATTTCAATCAAGTGATATTGAAACGGCCAATATCATCTTGATTTTTAAAAAGCATCATACCTCTAGATATGCATAAGTGACCATTACCTCTATAAAGTGGCAATTGTTGTGCTTCAATTTTATATTAAATATAGCATTCATTTTTAATGCCCACTGTAACTACAAAAGAAAAGGAAATATTAGGTTAAAATGTAAGAATTGGGGGGGGGGGGGTTATGTGGAAACATGTATAATACAAGATAAAATGTTTTACCTGTCTTGATAATATTGTTGTGTTTTACTAAAATAAAACAGTTTTCGTTTATAATTACTATTTTCACCAAATAATATTGCAATTTTAGGTTATTTATATTTATAAAAAAGGCCTGAAAATAGACATAATTTAATGGCATATTTATAAAATAAAATCATATTTTACAAAAATAAGATTTTGACAATTTTTGTTTGAACAGCTAAGGTGTAGTATATAAATATAGACATTTTTTTATAAAGTAAAATTATTATTTGATGGTAACTATTAAAAGAACATATATTTTTTTTTATATATCAAAAATAGTAGTTAGGTTATACAAATATGGCCAACCACATCTAAGAGTGCTCATCAAACTACAAACAATATGTGTAATCTAGGGCATTTGTTTTAATCTTATTTGTATGCAATATAAAATGTGTTATATTTCACGGATAAGATATTTGCAGCAATGTAGACTAGAGCTTCAGGGCATGGCACAATAAGAATTTTCACAAGTTGGTCCATTAAATTTTTTGCACAGCCTGACCCAAATTTTTTTTTTTAATTTGCCTAATTCAACCCAAAATTTATTAAAAATCAAGCTCGGCTTGGAATTTCTGAAAGTCAGGACTGGGTCATTTAACCAAAATTTTGCCATGGCCTAAAATTTTTTGAATTTTCTGGTCATCATATTTTTATTATATCTAATTTTTTCCTAATATCAATTAAAGATACTTATATCCCTTCTCTATGGTCATCTAATTCTTCAACAACAGTTTTATAAATCATTAAAATTTGCCACCCCAAAATTAATGAAAAGTCAAGCCTGTCCAGCTAAAAATCTATTAAAATTCTGCTATGAACCCTAAATTAGAACCCTTGGTATTTTAATGAACTTTTTAAGATTTACAGTTTATGGTAAAAAATTTGTTTTAGACATGAATTTTATTTATTTAATAAAATATGTTAAATTTTTTTTTATAGAAAACTATAGTAAAATTAAATATTAAAATCATCATAACTATTTTAAACATAATTATTATGTTTTATTTTTAATATGAAAACTATTTTTAATATGAATTTAATTTTTAGTGTAATCATTTTTTTTATATTTTAAAGTACTCCAGGTAAATATTTTATAATTTTACCAGCATATATTTATCCTTGTTTGTCGGATCATTTTAAAAGACTAACAAATAAATATTAAAATCAGTAAATCGTTTTGTTAAATGCAAGTTGCAATGTGCTGTCAAAGTTAGGCATAAAAAATCAATAGTTTAATTATAGTATATAGATTTTGGAAGATATTATGATAATTTACTTATAAAATTTAAAAATTATTTTTACGGTCAATATTAAATATAGTAAGATAAGTTCATTTTTACTAATTTTAAGACTTTATTTTTTATAGGCCCAAACCAAGTTCAGAAATATTTCATTGAACTAGAACCCTAACACTTTTTCTTAGGAGGTTCACAGCCCTGCTTAAAATACAAAGAATGTTTATCACATGTTCCTCAATAAAGAAATTTAAAAGGGAAAAGTAGAATGAGAGCTAGTGATCTGCAAGGCCCACCTACCCTCCCCTTCCCTCCCAAATCCAAATTTACTTTGGGTTTAGGTGAGCCTAATTTTTGAAAATAATTTTAATTCAAGACAAGAAAATTTTTTTTAATTGGGCCGCGTCTAATATTTAGGCCCGATGGAGATCTTTAATGAGAACAAATATTAGATATAATTATATGAAAATGAATATATTTATCAGGTAATATTTTATTTAAATATGTGCTTAAAATATATTTAATAATAAAATATGCTTGTATTAGAAGGTTATTTTTACTTTGCTATATTAAGATTTCTTTAATTTTTGAATATCACTTACACCTGATAAAAAATATTGAATGCATGATGATTTTACAGTTTTTACGAATGAATGGATAAATATTACATCTTGATTATTAAAAAATATATATTAAGACATAAAACGGTATGAAAAGCATGTTATATATTCTTCACAATTAAAGATTTTAAATTACACTTTATTATTTTAAATGGAAGACAGTGAATTGTTTCAAGTTGTTTACGCTTATATTTATTTTATGAATTTTTCACAACACTAAAACATAAGCTGCATACAATATATCAGAATAAACAAGAATTAAAAAGAAGAATGCATATAAAATTTAATGATTTTTTAAAAAAACGACTATAATTTAAAATTTTTAAGAAAAAAAGAATTTTTATATAAAAAAAGTGTAAACTCAAAATTATTTTTATAAAAATTTATTAACCTAAAGACCTCAAATAAAACTTTAGTACTCCCTAGCAAACTGGTTACGTATATGTGTCAAATGTGTTCTCATTAATTTAAAACCCCGTTTTGGGTCGATTTTTAAAAACGATCCGATTAAGATTTTAGCCAAAATAATAATAAACCTGTAGATTTGCTAATTAGAAATCCAAACCATTCTGCCAGTGTTGTTAAACCGCAACCCAATATTTTAGTCGAAAAATATTACGTTATCCTCAAGATTTTATTAATAAATGTCCAAACCTTTCTACCTTTAATAGACAAAATATCTAGTATTGCTTGATAGCTTTGTGGCTAAAATATTAGGTTAGCCGTTTAACAACACAACTTTCTGTCATCTATCAAAATCAGGTTTACATAATATTATTTTTATATAAATCTTAATTAAAACTGCTTAATTGCATATCGCTTAAGTGCAAATTTTAATTGCAAAAAAAATGCGCCATTTTGTTAAAATCTACAATGGCATAATGTAAATTATATTTTTAAATGCAAATCGGTTAATTGTGAAATAGGTTAAATGCGAAAAATTTAAATCCCATTTATATGTCAACAACGTCATTTTTATTGGATAAGTGTAAAGCGACGATTTTTGAATTGGCGATTAGCACTAACTATGTAAAAAATTATTTTTGAATTACATTTCTATTATTTTATGCTTAAGAATAAATTTAAAACATTGACACTTAAACTAAAGCTGAAATTATTGATAAATAAGATACATCCACGAAAGTGCACTTAGCAAAAGTTTTTAATTGCCACATCTTTACAATCTACAGAATTGAATCAAACAAAAAAGTCATTTATCGCAATGCCTTACAAATAAACCAGCTGCAACTAAGAGAATCAGAAATAGTAGTTTCCTGAAAACAGAGGAAGCATTTTTAATTTGGTTTGCATAGATGAGAAGCGATTTTGCCTTGAATGACTCTGTCATGCTGGAAAAGTCTAGAAAATACAACAAAACATTTTATGAAGGTAGTTCAATTTTTATAAATATCTATAATTTTGTACATTCTAGGGATTCCGACTGCCAGTTGGCTGCAAGGATTTAGGAAAAGGCATAATATTAATTTTCATATAATCTGCAATGAAAGAGGGAATGCGGATCTTACTAGTGCTAAGATTGGAGCAAGCAAACACTCCTTCTCTTTGTTTATGTTCGAGGCAACATATATATAATTGTGATGTAACTCGACTATAGTACCATGTGTTACCAACGGAAACCATGGAATTTAGTGAATCCCAACCATTAGGGTTTGAACATTGGCGTACAAAATGCAGATGCCGGACATATTTTTCAAAAATATTAATTTTTATATTTTATTATATTTATTCATATCTATTTATTTTAAAATTTTTATATTGTGGGCAAGGGTATGATCGAGCACGTGCAATGAGTGGACATTTCAATGGGCTTCAGGCATTTATTAAAAAAAAATGGCCAACAGCTATATATGTCCACTGTGCTGCCCATTCACTCAACTTAGCAATATCGGATTCATGTTCCTTACCATTGATATCAAATTGCTTAGGTTTTTAATTATTAAAATTAAATTTTTTATATTTATATCAGGTAAAATATCTAGCATCTATGAGATGTTTAGATACCCCAAGCGTCAAAATATTTTGAACAGAATTATATCTGAAACTCCTTGCCCAACAAGGAGAAAAAAATTGCAAAAAGCTTGTCCAACAAGATGGAGTCTTCGACATCAAGCAGTAACAGCTTTTATCGAGTTAGAAGAGCCGATTATTAATGCTCTTACAGAAATATCACAATGGTCTGAAAGAGATATTTCTTCAGAAGCAAGCAAGTTACTGGATTCAATACTTATAAAATTTTTTTTGCATTAGAATGTATTAATAAATTATTTAATTATACAACTATTTTATGTAATACTTTTCAAAAACCTGATATTGATTTGATTGAGATGATGAGAATAGCAGAGACAATTTTATTAGAACTCAAAGAAATTAGAGCTAATGCTGATGAGGAATTTCATATTTTATATGTTAATGTTGAATCAAAAGCAGAGCTATACGAGTTCAATATTTGTCTCCCTCGACTTGCAGTAAGGCAAACTTATCGTCTAAATATAAATATAGGGTCAATAGAATAATATTATAAAATAAATGTCTTTATACCTCTTTTGGATACATTTATAACCCAAGTAAATGAAAGGTTTTTAAATCATCAAGAAGCACTTATCAATCTCCAGATATTACTTCCGCAAAAACCCTCTGAACCTTTTTCAGATGGTGATAGAAAAAAATTAAAATATTTGAAAGATTTTTATCATGAAGACATTAATGTATCTCATGATGCTTTATTAGCTGAATGCCAACTATGGTATAAAAGATTAACTATGGTTGATATAGTCCCAAAAAATGCTATGGATGCTTTCCATCATTTCAAACATCTTTTAGATTATTTTCCCAATATATTGGAATTATTATATATATTAGCAACTCTTCCCATTAGTAGTGCAACTAATGAGAGAACATTCTCTTCTTTAAGAAGATTAAAAACTTACCTAAGAAGTACAACTTCTGAAAGTAGGTTGAATGGTCTGGCCCTTTTGAATATTCATAGGCATTTGACGCCAAACACGGATGAGATAATTGAAAAATTAACTCACTCCCAACGAAGATTGGATTTTACATTATAAAAATATAATGTTTCTATAATATTTTTTGTGCTATTTTTTAATGTCTTATATATTTTTCTTTTACATAAAAAATATAATTATTCATGTTTCCAACATTTAGATTTTTTATACTTTATATATAAATTTTAAAGGCTCAAAAAAATTTAAATTTCTATTATGGATTATTTATTTTATAGTCATCATATCCTGGTTATATCCACTTAATATTTTATAATCCAGATTTATTTAAAGTATTTATATGCCGCCGGTTATATCCGTTTAATATTTTTTAAATCAAATTTATTTTTATATACCGGTTTATATAATTAATTTTTTATAATTCATATTAATTTAAATTTGTATATTAGAAATAGTTATTAGTCCTAATAAATTTATGCTTAATATTTTTAAATAACAATAATTTTATTTTAAAAAATTTTAATTATCCCCCCCCCCCCACACCAAATTCCTGAGTACGCTACTGGGTTTGAACAAGATAAAAAAAAGTAACAGTTCTCTTTATTATAAATAGAGATGGTTCAGATAAAAAACTTTATGAAATTGGAAATTTTAAAATCCAAGATGTTTCAAAAATAAAAAGTTACCTGGTTAATATTATTCTAATAAAAATAGTTGGATGACAATGCTAGTTGTCACAATTAAATTAGAATTAAAAGATATAACAATAATTTTTTTCACCTCCAAATACTACTTCATTAATTTAACCTTTGGATATGGGAGTTATTTGATTCTTTATGTCATTACAGAAAAAGTATAATGAAAAAAATGATCAAATATATAGAAGGGAGTGACACAAGCAATTTTTATAATAAATTTACCCTTTATGACATCCTTTTCTTGGTAAAATTTGCTTTAGGGAAGGTCACAAGTACAACAATTATATAATGTTTTATTCAAGCCAATTTCTTTGACAAAACAATGCCATTAGATTGGGAATCAGGAAATGAAGTATGTGAATCTGGTGATGAATAAGAGGATGAAATTTCCATGTTTCTATCTTATGCCTTACATGATGATAATGCAAATTGCCATGGCATAATAGTTGATCCGGATATTTGTAACCAAATTAGATTAGAATTGTAAGATTTATTGTCTTTTATAGATAATAGAATTTATCTTATTTTCTAGAAGGATATGATAGTGCAGAAAAGAAAGTGATAACTTGAATGATGTTATAGAAGAGATACCTGAACCTGATAATTTACCTAATAAAAGTCAATCTATGAAGGGATATGACATTTTAATCTAGTATGAACATGCAACCCTGAAGGACCAAGAATCACTAAGAAGGCTAGAAATCATTATAGAAAAACAATTATTTGCACCTAATTCAACCCAGGCATTAATTACAAATTATTTAATCAATTAATTTATTTTATAAAAATTATTCATCATTTTATTTTATAATTGTATACATATATTTTGAAATGTTTAAAGTTAATCTTGTCACACTATAAATTCACATTTTTACAAATTGTTGTATATAAATATTATAACTATATAAATAAAAGTATCTATATGTGCAATAAATTCTAATCACTTGAATGAATATGTATTATTAATCATAAAAGTAAAAGTTTTATTTAAAAATTCTAGGTGATTATGTTAAATTATTAATCATAAATATAAAAAAAAAATATCTGCAGTTAAATTTTTTTTTTCCATGTCTAAATAAATATTTTTTTGATATCCTTGATTGTTGAAGTTGCTGAATATTAGAATTGGCTTGATGGTTGAGGGGTATCATTATATTGATTACATATTTCTAAAGAATCATTATTTAATAAATTTGTTGCTTGGGTATTATTATTGTACTAGCTGATAGCCCGTCAAAAATGACGGGGAATCAAAATTTTCTCCTTTATTCAATGATAAAATAATAAATGTTACCTTTATTTAACAATGGATGAAGAGGTGTGATTTAGAAATTTATATTTTTTAGATGAAGGGATATTCTAAA